ATGCCATAGTAATATTTAATTGTAGGCACGTACCGCAATTTATCTATTACTATGGCATACACTTACAATTAGTTTTCTTTTAAAAAAATTAAAAACAAATGACTATATCTGTTTTAAAAACGATTTCACATTTTTCCACTGCACATTTAACTATGTTGAATTTATAATGGATCTGTTTGAGTAAAATAGCCGGATTATTTTAATTTTATTTCGAAAAATATATAAGTACAATCTTAATAAATAAAAAGTGAAAATAATTAAATAAATACACCTATAATATACACGTCCGTTAAAATATTGTTTACCAATATTTTTGTCGTAAAAATTGAAATTTATTCTAGTTTTTGAAATATAATCCTTGGAATTAATTTGAAGCTAAGTGAAATTAGAAATATAGTGTTATTTGCCCATCTTATTCTACTTTCCCACCCATTCCCACATTCCTAATAGCAGGCTGAAGAGGGCCTTCTCCCTTTTTCTCCCGCTTTACACTAGGTCGCAGGGACCATCTGTCCATCACATTAGTAACTAATAGGAATAAAACACCCTAAATTTTAACTACACATATTAATTTATAATTATCTCTTATGCGTTTTATAAAAGCGATATTATTTTGTTTGGGAATTGAAAACAACAATTTCAGAGTATTTAAAATGGTTATTATTAAGTTCTTGTTTATTATTTACATTTTGGCCATACTTTAATATCTTCATATTTAATACTGAATGTTTTGTCCCTAACAACAGTTAAAACTTCGTGACTTAAAATATGCGCGTGTTGATGGCTCATATCAGGCAGATGAGTGTGAATGCCTGAGAAATATATGGTTTGGTCAAATCCTATTGTACACCTTGCTTTGCATGTCCCAGCATCGTACAAGTAGCACTTCCAGTATGTCACTTTTTGGCTACTCCTGTGTTTAATATATTTGTAGTTTTTTACCAACAGTTGAGGAAACTGTCGAGGTCCTTGAATAAAGGTCACAATCTCTGAAAAAATAATACGCGTTAGACAAAAATGCATTGAGTTATTTTATTTATCGATAACCTACTCAGTAAAGGCAAATCATTGTAGCTTTCGAAGTTGTAACAAAAGTATTACCCCGCTTATGAGTCCGATTGTCATTCTTTTTTCTTGCAAAAGGGGTATTATGAATAAGTATTTGATTAACGAACTAAAAATTATTAAAAACACTTATTTCAACAAAATTAGCGTTAATTCGGTAATATATAGAAAATGGAAGATTTAATTTATATTTATTTTATTCACTTATTTTACATAACTAATAATGTCTATGAATAGAAGTCTTCCTCAAAGTAAAGAAGCCTTATTAAAATC